TTTGTACTGAATTTATATGATTTATGCTAAACAAAATCTTACTTAGAATTTGTGTCTCGTTACTAGTTCAAATATCTACATTTCAAAACAAAAATATATATATATATTTCAATTACCCCACTGACAGATAATTTAGCTTGTTTTAAGAACAATCTCTTAATAGTGACTTATTTCTTCTGACGGTGAAAACTAAACAATATTTTTACTTGCTCTAAGATTTGTTTGATATTTGGACTGGAAACAAGACAAAACAAAGTAAGAAAAGCATTTCTGTTCTATTGTGGTTATTCAATTTGTGTACCTGCAAAGTGTTAGACTTGTGCATATACGGTTAGACCTAGAAAAACAGTGCTATTCAAACTATCTTGTGAAATGATATTTATATCACAATATGTAATGCAGAAAAATAAAATGTCGCAATATCAGATTTTTCCAATATTGTGCAGTATAAACATTTTTGGTTTTCAATATGGTTTTACATTAGGTTAGGCCCTCTCTAGAAGGTCCTGACTTTTCCCGTCTGCTTATTTATTACAAATCCTGGGCCATTATCTGACAACATCCAGCTACAATCATCATTGTCAAATGATTGTCTTTTTGTTGTTGTTGTTGTTGTTGTTGTTGTTGTTGTTGTTGGTGGTGGTGGTGGTGGTGGTGGTGTTGGTTTTGGGTCGGTGTGGGCCAGCTTTCAACATGAAATTGAGGAGACGATGTGTCTCAACTGTGGCATTTTCTAGCTAATTCTGCCTCATTTGAAGTGTAGCGTAAAGAGTGTCTGAAAGATCAGTAGACAGAGAAGGACAGGACTGTCTGTAAAGAGAGAAGGCCATAAACAGAGTCGCAATAGTCGGGTGATGTTGTCCCAGTGGGGGGTTCCGGGAAAGATGAAAGCTCTCGTCACCTCCCCGTTAGGAAGCTCAGTGCTGGAGGATGGGGCTGCTGCTATCACGTCTTGCTCTTTTATCTCCTTTACTACCTGCAGACTCAAAGCCTGTCTGAGCATTTGCATTTGTTTTCTCCTCCTCTTCACAAAAAAAAAATACTAATATGTTTTGGGTTCATTTTGCCATTATCCTCTGATTTGCTCCAAAAAAAAAAAAAACGAGTTAAAGCAGATTGGTGTTTTGTCATGAGATCCCAAAGATTCTGGCCAGCAATATAATGGATTTCACTTTCTAGCTATAAAGGTTTTATTGGTGGTACTGGTTGATGTTTATATGACATGTTGCTGGTCTTCATTGTTTTAGGGTGTTAGTATGTTGTGAATTCCTAATGTGTGTTGGGGCAGAGAGAAGGAACATATGGCAGAGAGCATTTAAAGGAAAGGGGATTATGTCCAAGGGGCTTTTTTTCTGCCCCAGAGCTTTTTTCATTAGTTGTTTCATTCCCCTGCCATTCACACGGTTGGGCAAAAAGCACTCACTGCTATTTTGAACATTTAAAAAAAATAAACGAAAATATGCTTTTGGTACATGTAAAGAAAAAGCAAATGGAAAAGGAGTATATTTTTTTTCAATGTGAAAATGTACTCACCCTCATGTTGTTCCAAACCTGTAAAACTGTTTCCTTTTTGGAGCACAAAACAGATAGGGTGAAGAAGGGTTCTTCTTTTCCATGCTGATGCAGGTCTGTGAATCAGGTCTGAAGCTACAATATCAGAAAAGGAAAAAAAGAGCAATAAAAGTTGTCCATATGACATATCTTTTTGCATAGTTTACACCTCTGCTAGAAGTGATTCTACTTTTTAAGAAGAAAAAATAGGATTTCTTCATTCATTTAGTTCACACAATAATAAAACAAAACATATGTTATTACTCATTTGTGGGAATTAAGAAAGCTTGAACGGATATAGGTATATTTTACTTGGAATTGTTCATGTTTACAATGATTCTTCAAGGAAACCAAATACAATTAGGTAAAATTAACCTTTCTTGTGTTCCCAGCATCCATTTTGATGTTTTCAGTTGGATTGACACTATTTTATTTTTTTTATTAAGTTGTATGTTGTTCTGTATGATATATAATAATTTTTATAACAAAACTTACAAAAACAGAGTAAAAAATACTTGAAACTTGAAGAACTTCAAACTGAACATCTAACTATCGAATAAAAAAATCAACATTTCTTTTATTTAACTTAAGCAAATGTGAGAGTTACATGGGAGTGACTTTAAAAACTTCAGTCCTACAAATCAAAAGTGTAATTATCTTCTTCAACCCAATCACCAGTGGACAAGGGATGTAAATGGGATCTAAGCTTAGAAATAAATGAGATTTTAAGCTCCCAGAGGAAGTACTGACAACCTATTGACCCGACACATGATTGTTATAGGGCCTATAGTGTGAAAGCACATCAAAACAAGCAATAGACCATCTCAATGTGGTCATAAACATTTATTCATCAAATTGTGGCTCTTTTTGGATTCTCAAAAGTTGTAGAATTAAAACATGTAAAACAGGAAATACGTTGGGACTTGCCACCATTGTTTTTGTTTACATCCCTCAAATGGTCTATTCATTCATACTTCGCTACATGATTCAAAGGTTGAAATGGGAATGCAGTAATCCATTAGATCATGGAAAATCTCGGTGCACATGACTTTTAAAGTCTTACAATAGCATTGTATGATTAACCGGATGTGAGTGGTGTGACACAACAAAAGACAATAGAACCCATCATTATTAGTTATACTAGTAAACTGTATCTGTAATTGGTATTCTCCAGTCGGTATCTGGTGTACTTCAACCACTTTTTCTGCTTCCTATGTAAATGACAAATGGATTTGCAATGGTCACTTTGTCATGTCCACAGTATTCACTGTGATAATCCTCTGAGCTGTCAACCATTGTGACTAAATCAAGTCTATAGTTGAATGGTTTAAAATCAGGGTTATGTTTGGCAAAAGGTTGAGGGTGAAATTACTTAGTATTCAGGGTGGTCATGAAAATTTGCCATACTGAACAACAACAAAAAAAAGGTTCTTGGTTTGAAGGTTACATTTGCACTACAATTTTGCCCACATAATCTTAACCAAAATTCCACTTAAGTGGACCTTCAGTTAATAATTGTCATCAGTTGTCTCTACATTTTGCTTTGGTTTAATATTGTTTTGCTATATCATAGGCTATAGATTAGTGAAATGGATAGATTAAGTCATTCACTGAACAGGTGAATAAAAATAAGGATGTGTTTATGTTAAACAGAAGCTAGGGCATGTGGCAAGATTTTCCGAAACTCTCAGGCTGTTATTCACAGAATGTTCTCATAAAAATATATATTATTCATCCTGTGAGCACAGTCTTTCCCAGTTTCTAGCTTTTTGTTTATTGTTGGAGGTAGGTCATTCTCCCTCTCTCTCTCAATCTCTCGTGCTCTCTCTCTCACACAGTCTGGGTCAGAACGCCCTGACATTGGTTCATGGTGACTTTATGAGGTTGCAAATTGGACACTCTACAAAAATCCACTATTTCTATTTCCTCTGAGGAAACTGGCTCTCCGCACACCCAGCTGTATATGCTTTGAGTTCAGTCTTGTTCTGTGGTAATCATATTTACTGACCACAGAGAGAGGTTGATTGCCTGATGAGTCACTGACATTAAATCAGCTTATTCCAGCCAACATCAGGCTCCATAACCAGAGCTCTGTGTTTGTGTGCAGTCACAATCACATGTCCTCAAATGACCTCAGTGTTACAGCTGTTTGTTTTCTTACAGAGTTCTCAGATTAAACTATAGTTATTATAGCTATAGTGTGATATTATAGGTGGGATGTTTACTGGGAAAACAGACATTGGCACAATAAATAATCGTGTTTGTCAAAATGGTATATATTAATTTAAGATTTTATGTGTTGGGTTTTTATACATTTTATTTTTAGATATATTTCTCTTTTAAAATTTATATTACTATGATAAAAATATTCTATAATGAATTTGAATTGAACACTAATTACAGAAAATGATGCTGTACAGTGCAAAACATTCATTATTTTCCTTTGACTTAATCTCAGAATTTGTTTCACGCAGCGGATGCCCTTTCAGCCGCAACCCAGTCCTGGGAAACACCCATACACCCTTGTATTTACACACAATCATACAATACAGTCAATTACAAGAGTTCACACTTAGCTGATGATTGATTATAAAGCTTGTTTGGCATGCTGACCCAGGAGAGAGCCCTGAGCTCATAAGATCCTTGAGCCCGGGGCTCCCTCCTGTTTGCAAGGCGAGAGAAGAGTTTGACCTATGGTAGATCTCGAAAACTCCCCTGCTGTAGTAGCTAATAATCAGATAGTGATTGCTCTTAAGATATAACTACACATTGGTTGCATGTCTATGGTGCCGATTTGTATTAGTCATTTAACGTAAGTTGCATGTTTTTGGACAGTGGGAGAAAACTGGGGAACCTGGGGGAACTGTGCACAGAAATGCCGGGTAGCTTGGTAAGGACTAGAACCAGTGATGTTCTTGCTGTTGGGCAACAGTGCTAGCTACTGGGCCACCGTGCCACCCTTTTAGGAAAGGAGGAGTTGGAGGAAAGGATGGGGGATTCTTCAAAACGAAGATAGCTGTGATATGGAACTTAGGGTATTTATAGGGACTTAGGAATCGTCTGGTTGGTGAATCATGAATTGGATAATGCGGGACCAGCCGCAAGCAATCATAACCACGTGATCCTCTCGAAATTAGTTATAACTAAACTTCACTTAGTTTATTCAATTCACCTATAATGCATGTCTTTGGACTGTGTGGATAACCGAAGCACTCGGAGAAAACCCACACAAGCAGGGAGAACGTGCAAACTCCACACAGAAATGCCAACTGGCCCAGCCGGGACTCAAACTAGCAACCTTCTTGCTGTTGTCGACAGTGCTAACCACTGAGTCACCATGCCGCCTGCAAAAAATTAATGATTTGTTAGAAATTTTCAAGCCATTGCTGTTCAATTGAACACTTTTTCTGAAGTAGTCATATTATTTCTTTCTCTCCATTCTATTAAAGGTCATGGGGAATTCCTATACAGGACACCTTCAGAGTACTCGGTTTGAGGAAGTGTTGCACAACTCCATAGAGGCGTCGCTGCGCTCCAACACAGTGGTTCCCCGACCAGTGTTCTCTCAGCTGTACCTGGAGGCAGAGCAAAGACCTTATTCTCATGAGGGTGAGCTTTTACAGTCTTCCATGATAGTCTTCCACACTCTTTCAAACACATCTGTTCATTTGTTATAAGGATTTGAGTACTGATCTGACAATGGACCCTTTTCACATTTCCGGGTTTCCCATTAGCTGAAGTTGTCATAACAGGGCAAAACTAGAGCTTAGTGAATTAAAGAGTACAACAAATAATTTTTTACTATCCTTTTTGATGAAATAATAAACTAAAAACTCCATGATGGTGTTTTTGAGACTGCTAACGACAGCCATAAATACATATATATACAGTTGAAGTCAAAATTATTAGCCCCCTTTTGATTTTTTTTTTCATATTTCCCAAATGATGTTTGACAGAGCAAGGAAATTTTCACAGTATGTCTGATAATATTTTTTCTTCTAGAAAAAGTCTTTATTTGTTTTAAATCGGTTAGAATAAAAGCAGTTTTGAATTTTTTAAAAACTATTTTTGGGACAAAATTATTAGCCCCTTTAAGCTAATTTTTTTTTCGATAAGTCTACAGAACAAACCATCATTATAGAATAACTTGCCTAATATATATATATATATATATATATATATATATATATATATATATATATATATATATATATATATATATATATATATATATATATATTATATATAAAGAAAATATAAATATCAAAACTTTCAAGGATTTAAGATCCTGATGATGATGTCTTTTAAAAAGGGTCCATAAAGCATGGTGCGGAGAGAGAAGAGAAGGGAACTGCAATAAAACATGTATTTCTATATGTGCAATTGTGCAAACTTCTAGTGCCAACTTACTTATGTTCATTACTTTTTTATTTCCAACAGGTCGAGTAGATGAGGATGAAGATGAAGAGGAAGGCTCGGATTCAAACAGCCCTCCAATCCCATATCAGATGAAATCTCCACCAGAGGGTTCATGTACTACAGATGGTGAGAGGCTATATATCGCATGAGAAACATGACTATTTTAAGCCATAATTCATCACATCTTTAAAGCATTTATATATGATTGGGATTTATTAAATGTTCACACTCAATGATCTGGCCTACTTGATGCTTGAAAATAGTTTTGTCATCTCTCTGGAAATTTCACTATAGTTATAAGCTTTTCGGGCACTGCGTAATATCAATGCACCTTATTACACCAGAGTAAGAGTATAGTTCATAGCCAATTTGGCCTAGAAAAGAGGATATTTTCATTTTCTGTCGATCTTAGTGCACAATGTAACTACAAAAGTGTCAAGCTTTAAATAGCTAAATGGTCTACTCCAATTCAATGATCTATGCTAAGCTAAGCTTAAAATGCACTAACCATACACAGAGATTGCCTGAATGGATTCAAAAACGGTTAAACTCAGCTGTTTCATTTTAGGGGGGTTATGAAATTAGACTATTTTCAAAAAAGGAGAGTGGAATGATTGTTTCTGTGCCATTTGGGTATTTCATTATTTTAAGAGCTGAAACAGGCACATTTTTCAGAGATATGTCACCAGCTGCATCTGATTCAGAAGTCATAGGCTTGTTAGCTTTTGTAGTTCTGCCAGACATTAGTTTTTGGCTAATCAATTTGGTTTTCAAATCTTCAATAATGTCCATGTATTTTTCACACCTTTTAGCCAAGGCTAATTGATCATCTGGTAATTTGTCTAGCTGTGATTAGAGATGTTCCATTTTTGTCTGTGACTTTTGTGCTTCACAATGTGCTGTGAGCAGTTGTTCGGTTTTATCCTTTAAATACATTCAGGATATTTACAGCCTCAATGATTTCTTTATGTTTACATTTCTTTTGTTTAATACTCACTGTTTACCACCATATGGAAATTTCCTCATTAGTAGCCTCCAGATTAAGAACGTTTCAAGTAAGTTTGTACCAGGTACTTTTTTTAGGACAGCAGTATCTCCAGCAGAAAAAATACTTAAAGGTGCCATTTTAAATTGTAAAGAAGTCTGTGTTTTTGAAACAAATGAAGACAGCAGAAGTCAATGATTCATTTGAATTACTTAGCCTGACATGTTTACTGTTTCATCTTTCAAAAAGTAAAATATATTGTTTACAAAGGGGAAAAAAGGTTTTTTTTTTTTTTTAATCCAAACATTTAAAAAGACTATGTTTTAGAGCAATGAGCACAATACTGTGATATTGTGAAACTGTGATGCTTTTATCCAAGGTTATCATACTATATTTTATCCAATCTTATACCAGCCCATCCCTAGTTTGTAGAGTACATACTCAACATTTTCTGTCCACAATGTAAACAGCTCATGATCGTTATAAATATTTCACCCCATATTGGAGGACATTTACTTGAATTTCACAGTGAAATGATAACTACAATTACTCTGATACTTTTAATTCCTGTTTCCTACAGTCATGCAAATGGAGACTTTTCCCACCATGCCATGAAGCAATGAAAAAAGACTTACCCACTCTGTGGTTAGAAGTTCAGCTTTAATCCACTCAGAAGATTCTCATTCTGATGACCATCGTGTGTCCAAGAGAAAAATAATTGATTTCTAGGATAAGCAAAGTAGATGTTTATTAGATGTTAAACTCACCAAAATTTTATCACGTCAGGTTTACCAAACTGTAAAGCTTGAAGCTTACATTCCTTTAACAAAACAAATGCAGATTAGTGTCTGATGATTTAACTTGAATACGAGTGTAGTGAATAGCTCACTTTTTGCTTTCTCCTCAAAAAAGGTTCATTTGCAAACATGCATGCAATGCACACACAATAAACACAAATGTTGATCACGTTGCTGCATACAACATCATCAAATTAATTTAAAGAACATGGAATATATTCGCTCATCTTCAAATTCCCAGAGGTTCAGTGAAGTCTCAGGACAAGCAAAAGTTTTTGAAAGTGTAATGTAATTGATCATAAGTGTGGAGGTTAGGTTAATCGCTTATACAATTGGTGACCAGACTTTCATTTCAGGGTTCTGTCAGGCGGGTAAAGACCTTCGGCTGTCATCCATGGCCGCAGAGAGTTTGGAGGTTCCGCCTGGGTTTCTGCTCGTCGGAGCCAAATCTCCCAGCGTGCCTGATCACATTCTGGTGTGTGCGGTGGACTTGCGCTTTCTCCCCGATGAATGTGGACGTAATGCACTTTTAGGTAAGACACACTGAACCTGATGCACCAGAATCTGAATAACCTGCATTTAAAAAAAGAGGGTGCGAAAGAGAGTTAGATAATAGAAAAGCCCAGACTTATGTCAGGGTACCCCAACCTCATTCAACTACATTTTCAGTTGTCAAAAAGGCATCTTGAAAGTAGGGCTGTGCAATTATTCAAAGGTGATTTTTCATGTGGATTTTGTGAGTAAAGCCAATTCTAGTAAATCTCCAGCACGTGCTTTCAAGTCTAGTAGCATTTTATTACAGAGTCATAGTTCACTGACAAGCTTTTCAAAATCACCAAACTACATATAATACTTTTTTTTTACTCTGAACTCACTTTATTTCAGTCAAGGGTTTGAAATAAACCTTTCTATGGGCTTTTATAATGGGGATTTTTTGGGTTTCTTCTTTGTGGGTGTTTGGACTTTCCACACGAGAGCACCATCCTACCTAATTTGCAAGTATTTAATTTAATACATAGAATGATCGATAGATAAATAGGCATTTCATAGGCATTGCATTGCTAGACGGCTGCAAAACCAGCTGTTCTGGCATTGATGCTAGGTGGTTGATAGGGTGTTTTGGGACATTGGTACACATTTGATAGGATGTTGCTATTGGTTTGCTAGAAACACAAGTTGGATGGTAGGTTGCTATTAATTAGAAAGACAGTCAGAATGAGGTACAAACAGACATACTGGTTGCTAAGTAGTCCATAGATCATCCGATGTGATTTGGTAGGTGGCTGTTCTGAGTGGATGTTAGGGCACTGAAATACTTAAACCATAATCAAAGAACACAAAACAGCTTGCCCAAATGAACTCTATGGCTTTTGATCTGTGGCTATTACATGCAAAGTAAAGGTTTATGCTAAAGTGCTGAGACTCTGCCTTCATTGACTTGAAAATCTGCCCCAGGTCATATCCTGTTTTCATTTCCTCAAGGTCAATTTGTTTTAGTTTATTGTAGAAAGTAAAGAGTTATTCTAATTAAAAGCGACACTGACACAGTTTTTCATCTTTAATACCACTAAGCTGCTTGATTTAAAGAAATCTACCACATGAAGTGCTACTTATAAAATTTCTCAAATGTGATTTTCCTTGATTGGAGTGCAGAATTTCAATGCTCATGCAAATATCCAGTCATTTTATATTGTATATTTTTATATCATAAGGAAAGCCTTCATATAATATAATATGAACATAGATTAATGTTTTTATTGTACAACGTTGGGGAGGGCAGAATGTAAAAATGCAAAACAAGTATATTTTGTAATCCAAAAAATAGTAAATAGATTCACTAAAATAAAGAATCATTACATATCAAGTCAAAAAAAGTCTTAAATGCCAACAAGAAAAAAATATGTATTACGAATAGATTTTAAAAAGATGATTTAGAAGCAGTTCTGATGTGCACTGGAAGACTAATCCACAAATTGGAACAACAGAGAATGCACAATCACCCCAATTTTTGACACAGGACCTGGGAACTTGTACCAAAATCTGCAGATCTGAGCACTCCTGACTGAGTGTATGGTTGTAACAGATCAGATAGATATTGTGGTGCCAAATTATGAAGCGACTTATAAACAAACGGTAACACTTTCAAATTAAGTCTATATTTGATTGGGAACCAATGAAATGAGATCAAAAATAGACTCATATTTGTGCTTCCCACAAAGAACTCAAGCTGCAGTATTTTGCACCAACTGCCAAGTCCCGACAAGAAACACATGACTGAGAAGCCCCGATATACAATGAGTTGCAATAATCCAATCGAGATGTTACAACATACAATTGCATAACATTTCAAATTTCTTCCAAGAAAAAAAATTGCTTCACCTTCACCAAAAGCCGTAATAAAAACTACTTGACAACAGCTCTTATCTGCTTATTAAATGTAGACAATACTGATTACCATACTGATACCATATCCCCATCCCTAACAGATAGCCATACAGACAGATGAGTGGATAGATAGGAGGGCAGAAATATTATTAATAAATACACTGTAGTTACCATACAGCAACAGCCCCTGGCAACATATCAGCCAGAGAGACAGAGAGAGAGAGAAAATGGGAAAGCCCTAAGCAAAGAGACTGCTCCTGGGTCAGGGTACCCCAACCTTGTGGGACCACGTTTTCAATTGTCAGAGAGACATATTTAGATCTTTAATTTGGGTTTCTATTGCCTTCAGCTCAGCATCTGACGGTTTGTGACTATGGAAACTGGGTGCTCAGCTGGGTACCATCTACACTACGTCTCTATTTTAGATAACTTATGTTGGTCTTCAAGGAATGTAGACAGAATCTGTGCACTCAAAGACAGCAGATATTTACCAGATGTCTTGCCTGTTCTAGGTTTCTCAGGGAACTGCATGGGCTGTGGAGAGAAGGGCTTCCGCTACTTCACAGAGTTTGCCAACCACATCAACCTGAAGCTCAGCACACAGCCTAAGAAGCAGAAGCACTTAAAGTACCACCTGCTCCGAAATGCACAGGGCATTCTGGTCAAGGGACCACCAATCTGCTGGAAAGGAATAGGTAAAGCTGAGCGGAACATTCTACACTGCTAATCGTCATGAATGGGCATCTTATTATAGCAGCGGGTAGCATCAGACACACATCTCTGGTGGATTATTGACAGCTAGAGACTAGGAGGAGGGTTAATTTGACCCTGTTCAGCATCCTGGGTCAGCCTGACCCATTCACAAGTGCTTCCCTTCTGAGACTGACAGTCCAGATGGCCGGCACACCTAGTTAAGCTCACTGCTGCCATGGTGACATGTCAACAGTGGACCAAACAGCTTTAGGAGTGTGTGCATATATTCAAAGAGTATTACATGCTTTACAAAAAAATAGGTCTTTAAAGGCCCTTTCACACCATTGAACGAGACTATTGTGGTGCAGTTTTAGGGTGCTTTCACACCTGTGAATCGATTCATTTGTTCCGAAACAGGGATTAAAATTGTTACATTGTTGCTCTTTGTTCTTGGTGCGGTTCGCTTTCACATGGCAAAGTTTCTAAATGGAACAAAATAGCTAAAACAAGTCATGTGTGAGCAAACTCTCCTCACATTGGTCAGAGTTTCATGGTTTATTTTGCAGAGTCCCGCTCAGCTGTCATGCGTCCTTATTTAAGTTGTGACGATAAGCAATAAGACAATATAAGCGATGTGAAGAACAGGGGGGTGACTTATGGGCGTAGGGGCGGGGTGTTTGTATGTGTGTGTGTGGGGGGGTGGGGGGGGGGTGTATTCACGTAAAGGCTGATTTTTTCTTCTGCGTCAAACACCGGCGTATGCTACGGCGTTGACGCATAGCCCTTCGCCGTGGCCGTCGCCGTCACTGACATGCACCTCTCAAAAATGTAACTACACGTCGCAACAACGCGTAGCGCAAGTTCTGGGATTGGTCGGCTTGGTAGCGCTGACGAGTCGGGGCGGGACCGAGAGACGTGCGAATGGCGCGAGCCAGATGTAATGATTGTTTACAAGTGTGGAGTCCCATGAAGGAGCTCCGGATGGAAAGTTTTGTTTTGTGTTTACCTCATAGTTAAAGTTGCTGCACGTCCGCCGGTTTCTGCCTCAAAATGAGCGAGTTTGAGTCACTTGTCCAACCAGGAAGTGTTCAGGAAACGCAAAACAGAAACGAATATACTCGACACAGAGGAACATTTACACCTCACTGCCAACTAGCGTTTCGGAAGTGTTAATGCAGACCAACAGAGACAGCGCGCAGAAGTATAAATGCACAGCCACGCGCGTTGCATGCGCCGTGGGTTACGCCGGTCACTTGACGCAGAAGTATAAACCAGGCTTTAGTCACACCGCGGTCTTCACATGGCTTTTTAGTTTATCGCACACTGACAAACTGCATAAAAAACTAGCAAGACTTGTTAAAGGATTTTACAATGAGGTCTTCATTATCTTAATTAGGTACTAATTACTCTTATTAGTAGTAACTTAAGATAAATAAATAAAATTAAGTACTCAATAAAAAGTCAATATAAAAAAGCCCATTACACAGCTATAAAAATGAAAACACAGACTCTAATATAGTCATAATTATATGCATTATATTCATATTAGAACACTACACCTTGCTTGAATAGGATTTGATTAATCATAATTAAAATGAACATTGACAGACTCATTTATAGTTATTGCTTTTGATGGGAATTCAGAAGGCCTTCTGAAGCAGTTGTTAATTTTCCTAATGCAAAGGCGAACGGTGGAAAGATCCTTACTAGCCACCAAATGTCAGACGAAAATGTCTTGCTATGCATTGTTTCACTGTTGCTTTTCCCTCGTTTTATGTACAGACAGCCGAATGAGAAATGCAGTCAGTAATATAACTGCCGGACCAGAGGAGCAATCAGCACATGGACCCAATGACCTGCTCTCCAATTCAGGGCACATGCCTTTAAACACAATTAACCACACAGGTATAAAATAAATCAGGCTTGTGTACACAATATTTAAGCATCTGTTTTTCTTCAGAATGTATAACGACTGCATTGACTTCCAATAATCTCTTTTATCTTTAAGTTAATAGATTTTATGCTATCCCAATCACTCAGATCTGAACACCCAACACCACACATCTGACGGTTCCCCTCCCATTACTAATGGCAGTCATGTTCCAGCTCAACCTCTACCACAGCCTGGAATAGTTGCCACTGGCCCTGGAAGGCCCACAGTAATAGGTAATCCTGCCCTCCAGCACTCACTATTCACTCAGTGGTTTAACTTCAAGCTCAGATTTGAGAAAGGGAAACCTCAATTTTACAGAGGCGGTCCCTAAAACTAATCCCCCCTCTAGACTTCACACCTCCAGTGAAAGCGAGCCCCCCTTTGGAAAAGTCAAAATGCTTTAAAAAGAGGCAGCTGTATTGTCTTGCCTTTTCCTCCTCCTCTTTTGTAGTTGGTGTCTGTCATTATTCAGCATTTGGGGCTGTAAAAGATCCCTCTCTTTTCTTTCAACACTCTCTGCCTACCACCTCCATAAAGTGCCGCTGTAAAGTCTCTTCCCTTCTCTCCCCGGCTCTCTGTCTGCATTGTAAAATGTGAGACTTCCTTCCTGATGCTTTGGTTTTCATTAGGATTCAACACATTTCCCCTTTTTCTTCGGCTTCACTTTGCATATAAAGGCACACATGCACTCGCTTTTACAGTCTGGTTAATGTGTAACATAATAATCACCTCCTGCTTTGAAAGTGAATTTGCATACATCGTTTTAGAGTGGCAAATAGAATATTAATACAAAAAGAAAATCGTCAAATTAAACTTTAACACAAGCTTATCAAAAATTGTATGATTTAGTAAAAAGAGATCTTTTATATATACAGTGCTCAGCAGTACACCCCTCACAGATTAGACAGACTTTAAATTCATATTTTCTACAGGATGCTTTATAATAATATATTTGTGTATATACTTTACATTAGTTAGTACCATAGTTAAAATAAAACTCAAGATCAGGGTAAAAGATTAGTACATCTAAATAGGAAAATAGGAAATAACATTTTAATAAACAGAAAAAAATCAAGAGAAATATAAAAAAAATATCAAATTTGATTGAGGTTTTTGTGGTTGTAGTAATTTTTTTGCAACTTGTTTGAATATATATGTATATGTTTCGAAGTCTAAAGATTTTCATTGATTGTTATTGGCTATATTTACTGACAAATGGTAAACAATATTCATTTTTAAAAAGGGGTGTACTTATTTATGCTGAGCACTGTATTTATATGTATATGTGTATGCACAAAGATGGATAGATGGATGGATGGATGGATGGATGGATGGATGGATGGATGGATGGAAAGACGGATGGATGGATGGAAAGACGGATGGATGGATGGAAAGACGGATGGATGGATGGATAGACGGACGGATAAATGGATAAACGGACGGACAGACGGACAGACAGATAGACAGATAGATAGATAGATAGATAGATAGATAGATAGATAGATAGATAGATAGATAGATAGATAGATAGATAGATAGATAGATAGATAGATAGATAGATAGATAGACAGATAGATAGATAGATAGATAGATAGATAGATAGATAGATAGATAGATAGATAGATAGATAGATAGATAGATAGATAGATAGATAGATAGATAGATAGATAGATAGATAGATAGATGTGTACACAGAATGATGAATATATAGATCCATTCAGTCCCTTATTTATCAGGGGTCACCACAGTCGAATGAACCGCTGAATATTTAGATTTTTTTTATTGGATTGGTCGATAAATAATGAAAATATCATATTGACCAGTTGTGATGCTTTAAAAGGTTCCATGGCAAATTCTGGGCCCCCCAAGAAGAGACACAAGGGATGGTCTCCAGAATCGTCTGCTCCTACAGAAGTGACCTCCAGACCTGCTCCCAACAGCACAAGCAATGGCACTAAATCAGGTAGACACACTCAAATCTTTGTAGTGCCCTTATTTACCACTCAGACTGTGCAGTGAGTCAGTCTGTCCCTCTGAATAAGAGCACATATACAGGATTTAGGGACATTGGAGGCTTAGCCCAGAATGATGGGGGAGGTGGGGGATGGAAATTTTCCAAAGTGCTCAGTAAGAATATTAAAAGATCTGTGAACAGCACAATTTGGGTTTCATTCAGACAGTATTTCAGCCTCTAGATTTGTGATGTATTATTCACCCTTGAAGCAAAAATCTAAGCGATCTTGATTTGCATTCTTGTTGAAGCCCTATTTGATTTTGTAATGACATTAGATATTGTAATAAAAATAAATAATAGTTAGTGTAACTGGCCTTATGGTTAGGAGGTTGTTACAACTTAATTTGTTTCAACTCAAAAACCTCAGTAAACTACACCCTGTCTCTGAGTGCAAAAATGTGATGTGATCTGACTGCAGCACAGACTCTGCCAAATGGCCATTATAATTGTTATATATATTTGCTTTTCAGCAAGCCTGAACAGAGTGTTCTTCAAATGCTTTTCACAGGAGAGCACTGAGAGCAAGCATACAAAATAAGAAACAATATCAGAAAAAATATAATGGATTGGTAATTTGATAATTTCAGGTGGTACCAGAGACAGTGGTTTCCAACATTTTGTCTTTTAGGTCCACGACACACCAAGCTGACTTCAAAGAACTAGTGCTGATGAAAGTCTACCTTGTTGTCACCTCAATTAGTCTGTGTAGCACTCATAAAAAGTCATATTGTCAACATTGCTAACTGTATATTGTTTTATTTATTTATTTATTTTGGAGTATGCTGCTGTATTTTGCACTGTTGTTGTATTTTGTCTGAAACCAGCATCTAGGCTTTACACTTATCACCGTACACTTGCTGCTGATGATGTGACAATAAAAGTGATTTGATTTGATTTGAAGAGATGAACACAGCACGTTCACTATGAAATAGCATTTTGCTGCACTTTATATAGGGAATAAACAGTCTATATCCGCAGGTATAAAAAAACTAAATTTGTAAAATAAGAAATTAAAATTGTGATTTCTTTCCTTTCTTTCATCACTTTTTTGGTGTTTTTCTTTTGCATTGACATGTTCACTAAACTTAAATCAGAGCAATCACTCACCTATTGAAACTGATTCAATCTAATGCCTTGGTGCACAGGACTTTCTACAAAACACTTTCCACATATTTTTCCTAAAAACTGTCCACTGACAGGCCAACAGTCTACTTGGTTTTCTCTTAAATCTTTTTTTTTTTTCAGTAATTTTTTTGTCCTAATTCTCTTTGCATTCACTTTAATTGTTAAGACTGAACCTGTGATAACATTACATGTATAAAGGCTTTTATGACATAATATACCGTTGTGTGTATAGCTAAATGCACTCGTATGGTGGTGTATTGATGCAGATTTACATCATGTGCATTATCTGTGGATGTGTTTGTTCTCAGCTGACACTGGGGCATCTGGGTGTTTTTCTGTGGGGTCCTCTCCGCCCCTTGCTATGGGTGAGTCTGTCACAGTGCCTGATCACCTGCTTCAGACTTGTGGACTACGACCGGTCATTTTTAAAGGTAAATTTTTAACATTATTTGATTTTTGCATCCTATATTTGCCCATCAACCCAATAATTGTACATTATTGGACAAATGTTAAGCGTTACAGGTGAGTGGGCCTGACAAACCACCTGTAGAAAACACATTCTTTCATCTCTCTGACACTTTAACCGACCCTTGAACCAGTTTTGCACATTCGCACCAGATACTTTCTTACAATTACTCCATATCACAATTATGAAGTGTGCTTCACATAGGTGAGTGGGCTTGACAAACCACTTGTAGAAAAATTCTTCTCTCTATAAAAAAACACTCCCCCTTCTTACTCTGAGCACTAACAGTTCCTTTGTATAATTAGCACTTCTTGTGTGTATTGCCTCTTCTCGTTGAAGTTGCTTTGAACAAAAGTCAATGTAAATGTGTTTAACAACTTGTATATATAGAAATGCATATATACCCAAGCAACCTGGACACGTAGAGGGGAAAAACTGGCTCTGTTATTGGGAGGTTGGTGGTTGTTTAGTCTACTGAGCGACATGAGCAGTATCCAATAGCAGTTCCCACGTCTTTATCGTGGGCCAGCTGTTCATTTCTGCTGTGTTTGTGGTTGCGTTTTTGTCTGTAGGGCACGGGACACTGCCTCATCTATCTGGGAACCTTGAGGATGTGCTGGTGAGTGGCCTGCTTGAGAAATGCTATCGCAGTTCCCAGAACCTCCCACGTGTCTATGAGCAGTATGGCACCGCTCCTATCCAGCCCATCTCCACTGAGATGCTGATCCTGCTCACTGTCTACTATCTAGTGCAGCTTGGTGAGAACAACAGTATTCATGCAACTTGCACACAGTTTTTTTATGCTCAGCAGTAAATGTTTTGATACTGGAAATGCCAAGTATGACGAGTATCCATTGAAAAACATCAGCTGTATTTATATTAGTGTTCCTTACAGTCTTTACAGCTTTATCAGTCACAATAATTCAAATGAAAAACTGAATAAAATTAGGGCAACACGGTGGCTCAGTGATTAGCACTGCCTCACAGCAAGAAGCTCACTGGTTCGAGTCCGAGCTGGGTCAGTTGGCTTTTCTGTGTGGAGTTTGCATGTTCTCCCCGTGTTTACATGGGATTCCTTTGGGTGCTCCTGTTTCCAAAGACATGTGGTACAGGTGAATTGAATAAATTAAATTGACCATAGTGAGTGTGTGTGAATGCGAGATGAGTGTGTTTGGGTCTTTCCCAGTATTGAGTTGCAGCTGAAAGGGCAGCCGCTGTGTAAAAGATATGCTAGATAATTTAGTGGTTCATTCCGCTGTGGCAACCCCTACTGAATAAAGGGACTAAGCTGAAAGAAAATGAATGAATGAATGAATGAATGAATAAATACAATTAAATGACTAAAAAAAAAACCTGAGATAAAACAAAAAATATGAGCTAATTTAAAATATTAAGTAGTATATAATAAAAATTATACTTAAATTAGAGTTTAAAAAACTAATTTACAGTTCTAATTGTTGACAGGTTTATCAGCTTATCAGGTTTATACGATTGAAAAAATTTACACTGCTAATTAATACTAAAATGACACTGGATTACAACTAATTAAAAACTAATTCAAAATATTAATAAATAATGTCACTACAAACACTGGTTTACAGTTAAACAAAAGCCCATTCAAAATATGAATAGATAGTATATAAATACTTAAATCACTGCTCATGTTTTGAACAAAAGATCATTTGAAATATATAAATGCTGGTATTATAATAGCATATACATTCACCGGCCACTTTATTAGGTATACCTTACGAGTACAGGGTTGGACCCCTTTTTGCCTTCAGAATTGACTTATTCCTTCATGGTTGCAATCTTCAATTGTCAAGTTTTGGTGAGCCTGTGTGAATTATAGCCTCAGTTTCTTGTTCTTAGCTGACCAGAGTGGCACCTGGTGTGGTCTTCTGCTGCTGTAGCCTATCTGCCTCAAGATTGGGCGTGTTGTGCATTTAGAGATGCTCTTTTGGATACCTCAGTTTTAACGAGTGGTTATTTGAGTTACTGTTGCCGCTCTCTGAATAATTTCTCTTTTTGGACTATTCTCTGTAAACCATAGAGACGGTTGTGCATGAAAATCCTAGTAGATCAGCAGTTTCTAAAATACTCAGATCAGCCCAACCAACAACCATGCCACGTTCAGTCACTTAAATCACCTTTCTTCCCCATTCTGATGCTCGGTTTGAACTGCAGCAGATCCTCTTGACTATGGCTGTGTCCGAAACCGCCTACTATTCAGTAGGTACTGCATTTGAATTTAAACGTACTACGCGGCCATTAGAAAAGTACGTTCTATACAGTATGAATGTGAAAAGTATGAATGGAATTCGTACGTACTACATGTGCCATTTTGACATAGTAACGTGACCTACCTGTGTAAATTGCGTTTACTTACTCCCATTCATGAATTATTGCTCGCGGGGCATCATGGGATAGAGCAGCATGCGGGATGTGCACTCCAGGAAGTAGTAAGTCATCCGGCTACTTCTTGCATACTGTTTTTCGAATTCTGTGAATTCGGACATACTACTCGGCTCACATACTGATTTTAGCATACTGTATAGTATGGAAGTATGCAGTTTCGGACACAGCCTATGTCTACATGCCTAAAAGCATTGAGTTGCTGCCATGTGATTGGCTAGTTAGACATTTGCGTTAACGAGCAGTTAGACAGGTGTATCTAATAAAGTGGCCGGTCAGTGTAAATGATAACAAAATAAAACATTTAAAAACTATGGCTTCATTTATATAATCAGTATAATAAAATAGGCATGATTATGTTCTTGATTTTGTGTTAATAATGCTTGTTATCTATAAACATTTTTCAGTAAATTCAACATTTTAGACTTTTTAAAATTCTTAAGGGTTTCATCTTAGCACCCTTTTCATGTTAAAACATAATATTTTTAAAAAATCATACTTATTCATATGAATGAAAATTAACTCACTCACTTTCCTTTGCCTTACACCCCTCTTCATGGATGAAAATGATATAATTTATTAGTGAATTATCAGCATGCATTAGTATATTTATATGTCACAACAGCACCTGACCAGGCTCCTGTGATGGAAGACTTGGAGCAGATCTTCATGCGCTCCTGGCGTGAGTCTCACCTGACAGAGATCCGGCAGTACCAGCAAACACATACACAGTTTCCACCTCCTCTGCCCTGCCTCGCGCAGCCCCTCACTCCCTCTCAGCTGCCCTGGCTTGCCAAACTGGCCACCAGCTCATGTGGAGAAGGAGTTCTGGTGCTGGACACTGCACTCTCTCTGGCAGAGGCGCTGGAGGACACCTTTCACAGGCTGGTGGAGGGAAGATTGAGCCACACCAACTATGTGGTGATCATCTGCATGAACAGGAGCCAGGAAATAGAGTCATGTGTGGTGGTGACAGGTGAGTGGGTTACACATTTTCAAACAATCAGGGTTCCCACACTTTTCGACAATACTTGAATTTCAAACATACAGATTCAAGGCCTGGAGTAGTTAAGAACAAACAAAGGTCTTTGAAAGTCCTTGAATTAAATTTTAAATTATATTTGTTTTGGTATTATTTCAACAATTGTTATGCAGCTCTATACATTAAAATCTTGCATATGTACTATGACAAATAATGCACATTTTATAAATATTTCAGAAAACAGTTTTATATTTGTTGGCAGCTAGCACTCTGCAAATCTAACATAGTCCCCCATTGAAGCTAAATAAGGGATGCACCTGGTCAGGACCAGGTAGACCACAGGAGACCAGATGGAAAAGCTAGGTTGCTGTCAGAAGCGGTGTGAGGGGGGGGTGCTCAACCTGCGGTCTGCGTGGGTCCTAACGCCCCAGTATATTGATGGGGACTCTATACTGCTCAGTCAACATCTGCTTTTGGAAGCGATGTCCCGACTCTCTGTGGTCGTTAAAAATCCCAGGATGTCCTTTGAAAAAGAGTAGGGGTTTAAGCCCAGCATCCTGGCCAAATTTGCCCACTGGCCTCTGTCCATTATGGCCGCCTAACTATCCCCATATAATAATTGTCTTCATCACCCTGTCTCCTCTTTACCAATCAGCTGGTGTGTGGTCTGGTGCAATATAACTGCAGTCATCCAGGTGGATGCTGCACACTGGTGGTGGATAAGGAGATTCCCCCCAATAATGTATAAAGCACTTTGAGTGTCCAAAAAAGCACTATATAAATGCAAGGACTTGTTATCATTATTATTACTATACATTAATAGTATATTGCCCGAATAGTCCCCTTTTTGAATTCAACAGCTTTTAATAAAGTTCTTTAAACATGACTATTTAAAACAGTCTAAACCTTTTGAAAATGACACATTCAAAACATCCTCACAGACATTTTTAATGTAAATAATAAATGTAAGTGAAATGTTAAGTACAGTAAGGACTTTCATGGCACTACATATGCTGGGGGGGGTGAATTACAAAGATACTTGTACTGAAATTAATTCATTAATGCATTTTCTTTTCGGCTTAGTCCCTTTATTAATCCAGGGTCGCCACAGCGGAATGAACCGCCAACTTATCCAGCACATGTTTCCAGCCGCAAACCATCTCTGGGAAAATATTGAAATTAATAGTGCTTCAAAAAGTTTTTGAAATTCCTTAAAAAATGTATATAAAAGAGTGGGAACTAAATAATAAAAGAATATATATTTTTAAATGTTTTTAGACATTTGGATTAGATTTTTTTGCATCTCTGTAAAGGAATTGAATTCAAATTTGATTATAAATGTATACACTATGTTTACATTTTCTCACAGGGAAGCACCAGACTCGTGCTCTAGCCGAGAGTCTTCTTTCTCCCAGTGATTGTTTGAGAGAGATTGTTCATGAACTGTCTTCTGGGATGGCAGCAGAGCTGGGGTCTTATTTCAGTTCTTTAGGTCCAGGTATGACCCCTGCTTCACTTTATGAATCTTCCTTCTGCTATTTTAGCAATGCAGTTTTTAAAAGCATGTTTATACCACTTTTCAGACGGAGATGTGGAAGCTTTGCTGGAGAAAGCCAGCCCTGAAAACACCTCACAGTATTCTGCTATAGAACCATCTGGAGACAGTCCTAAACCTAAGTGCACTGGTGAGACTAACAACGTGTCTGTTTAAAGGAACAGTTCACACAAAAATTTAAACTGAATTATTATTATTATTATTTACTCACCCTCGAGTGTTTCCAAACCTTTTTAAGTTTTTTTTCCTGCTGAACCTAAAAAATATAGTTCCTACTATGGAAGTCACTGACTATTGACTTTCATAGAAGGAAAAAAACAAACACTATGAAAGTCGATGGATACAGGTTTCCAGATTTCTTCAGAATATCTTCTTTTTTGTTGAACTGAAAAAAGAAAGTCATACAGGTTTTGTGACAAGTGAAGAGTGAGTAAGTGATGACCAATATTTCAGTTTTGGGTGAACTGTCCCTTAGGTATTGAACTATGATGGTAATCTTGTGAATACCTACAGGAAATGTGTGTTGACCCTTCAGTGTTAACTGTTTTGACAGAATACTTTGTAGAGTGGCATGAGATTCGGCCCATTCAACTCGCCTTGGCACGGAAGCTGCTCTCACATGTTTGTGCCATCGCTGATTCCAGCACACAGAACCTGGACCTCGGTTCCTTTGACAAGGTGGACTTTTTAATCTGCGTTCCACCCTCAGAGGTCACCTTTCATCAAGTCGTCCTCCACCTGTGGAACTCAGGTAAACAACAGCTACTTATTACCCATAAGCCTCATTCACCCTTACTAAAAGAGAAGTGTATTTCAACCCTAGTTTATCAAGTCAACTTTTTCTTGGATACTACATTTAGGAAGTAAACTAATATTGTTGTACTTTGGAAGGGTATTATTTATATACCTCTTGAAACTAAATTGAACCATCAGTACATGGCCATATATATATATATATATATATATATATATATATATATATATATATATATATATATATATATATACAGACTAAGTTCTGTGGGTTTTATTTCTCCATTGCTTACTCTCACCTTCTTCTGTTGTCTTTTTAGGAGTGTTTAGAGAGTTAGGACTCGACCAAGACTGCTTGTCTCTGAAGGAGGCTGAGCAGTATGTGGTACAGCTGAACCAGAGTGCAGTGGGAAAGATCAACAACCTCATTCAGAAGTCAAAGATGAACCCCTACACACTCTTTATACTGGTGCATGATCACGCACACTGGGATGTCAGCAGGTAATCTAACCTCTAATGCTTCTCCTTTAACCATAGACTCCAGTTTGCTTGGCTTTTTCTGGAACGGTCTCTTGCATATTCATTCTTCTGGCAGTGGGCAGTGCAGTGGAGGAGACTCTAGTGTAGGACTAGTGGACAGTCTGCTGAACTGCAGGCAGATTCGAGACGCTGCCAATATCCTGACGCTCCATGTGACTTCATTCCCCTTCACCCTGCAGACTCAGTACACCCGCATCAGCCCATACAACGAGATCCACTGGCCATCAGGATTCAATAATGTATGCATATCATATAAATGTTAAAGTCTCTCGTTGCAGTTAATTACAAACACATTTTTTCTAGCGATTTTATTCATTGATCATGTGTTTTTGCTCACCAAGGATGTAGATCTTTATCATGAGAAGACAAAGTACTTTGGTGTGTCCGAGCTGCTAGAAACGACCCGCTCTGGAAGTGGCCTTCCTCTGCTACGATATGACAGTTCCTTTGAGAGTATGGCTGCTGCTCTGGAGGAGAGGTGTGATTTCAGTATTAATGAAATTAAATGTTTATTTTGAATTTATTAATTAATCTATAGTTAATATACTTTACATAAAAATGTTTTTAAGCATCAAAACCAAAACAATAAATCAGTAATATCCTGTTTATTTTTATCATTATTCACAGATTCAAACCCAATTGATGTAATCCAGTGCATCAATTGCTAAAATATCAAAATAACACAAATTTGTCTGGTATTTTAAAACAAGAGTCTTTTAATGACATAAAAAAGACATGTGTGAATATTTACATATATACAGTTGTCAGCATAATTGAGTAAACCCCATTTTAAAAATGAATATTTATTAAACTAATATTATAGTCACCAAACATATTTAGAAACTGAAAGATAATGCAATTAAATTCAAGCAAACTATTGCAAAAAAAAAAAATATTTTTTTTGGCTTCTCTTGATTTTTTGTCCTTTTTTTTTATTTGTATTTAATATTTTTTTGTAATATATTCATTTGTGTGTAAAAGTTTTTGGAACGTTATTGTTATATTGTTATATTATGTTGTTATATTGTTAGACAAGCTCCAGATTTAGCTTTAATACTGACTTGTCTAATGTATATGCACAAACATAATATTGTATAGCTTCCTATTAAAAATATGAATTTAAAAGATAGTTTTGTGAGGAGTGTACATATATATGCTGAGCACTGTATATATGTAATACTGAATGACGATGGAATGCTATTTCACCATTTTTTTGCAGTTTTTTTTTATGAATAACATCTGAAACACGACATTTTTACTTATATAATATCTTTTATATGTGCATAAAACCATGTTTGTAAATATTATTTGATGTTGACACCAAACTGGAACAGCTGGTCTTATAAAGTTTGGGGTCAGTAAAATTTCCTTGTAAATTAAATAAATACTTTTAATCATAAAAACGTATCAGTAAATACATGTATTATGTTATAAGCCATTTCAGCTTTTTTTTTTTAAATGCAGTTCTTTTGAAAATAGGAAAGGCACACTTGTTTATACATCTTTGGTGATATGAAGAAATGTTTCTGGAGTAATACATTTGCATTATAGAATGTTTTCTGAATTATTATGAAACACATGTTTACACACATGATTAATGATGCTGAAAATCAAAAGATTAAACTATAATAAAGAAGAAAACCTTTACAATAATTTAGGAGATGCTTTTATCCAAAGCAAATTTCAATTGAGGATATATATATATATATATATATATATATATATATATATATATATATATATATATATATATATATATATATATATATATATATATCCATCCCCCACCCATACCCCCCTCCAACCCCCCCGGAAACATGGATTGTTAAAAAAGTGTCTGGTGTATTATTATTATTATAAAAATTCACAAATAAAATATATTTTACTCTATTTATAATGAAAAAAGCATAAGAGACTTATAAAACATATAACCAACCTCAAACCTTTTCCTCTCTTTTCATTGAATGCAATGTTTTACTAGCATGTATAAACTCCCACTTCTTTCCTTCAGGTTCCCAAAACTACACAGCGCTGTGATTCGCACTCATGTCCTAATCCAGCATTACTCTCTGGCCCTAATGGCAACAGCAGGCGGCCAGGCTTTACAGGCTCTGCAGAAGCACATCTCAGTGGAGACGCTGGAGATGGTGCAGTGTCTCCTCAACACCTCTCAGCACTGTCCTAGCCGTCATGGTCACATGCTGCTCCTGAGGATCCCGTCACCGGCTCTTGCTGCCTTAGCACATCAGCGCCTCTGCCATGTGCGCAACAGACTCGGCCTTCACAAGCAGTTTGAGGTCATACTGGGGGATCCATGCTCCACTCTTACCGTAGGAAAACACTTTCTGGATCAACTGAGGGTAATAACTTTTCATTTGTTTGATGGATATTCTGCCTGGTCAATAAAATATAAACTTAATATGACCTTTAGTGCAGTGATTGTTATCTTTCGGGGTTATGTTAAAATAGAAAACATAATATTGAAAAAGACTTTTTCAATAAATAAAATTTATAAACAAATTTCCAGAGGATCATGTGCTTATGATTGATCACAGTTGGTCCCTCATCAGCTCATGATTGATTCACCAATCAGAGGATTCCTAACTCAATATAAACAACCAGAGTTTTCTTATCTCAGTATCTTCGTCTTGAAGAATCTCCCCCTACCCACCCCTACAGCCCAGTGATTAGCACTGTTGACTCATAGCAAGAATGTCTTTGGTTAAAGTCCCTTCTAAACCAGTAGACATTTCTGTGCATTTACTTGTTTTCTCCATGCCTGCATGGGTTTTTCCAGGTCCTCCAGTTTCCTCCTAAAGTCCAAAAACACGCAACCCAAGCAAATTGAACACAACAAATTGATACCATAGCCAAGCTCTTAGCAAGTGTACATCTCTCCTTAGCCATCCTATATCTGTCATTAGCCAGAAATAATTTGGGGGAGTTCATTGAGATCTACATGAGCTCAAACTCCCTTCTCGCCCTGCAAACGGGAGGGAGCACAGGGCTCGAGGATCTTATAAGCTCAGGGCTCTCTACTGGGACAGCATGCCAAACAAGCTTTATTATCAATCATCAGCTAAGTGTGAACTCTTGAAAATATTTAAAAACACTTCACACTTTACATCATTTACTGTACATATTGTTGTTCTTCTGGTGATGTGACTTGCTTTTCTTCTCATTTGCATCTCACTTCGGATTAAAAACATCTGCTATGTGAATACATTTTTAATTATTGGCAACAAATCTATTTAACCTAACTAAAGGCCCAGGAATACTTTAAACAAAATCAAAGAACAAACTGAAATGAAGCCGCATTTAACATTAACCAACCGAAATGAGGCTTTTTATAGAGTTAATTTCGGCAGATCTAAACAACTCACCAAAGCAAACTTTTTGGAGAGTCTGTTTTAAACTGCCTGAAATGAACTAAAAGAACTTCATTTCAGTCACATTTCGTTCGAAATGACATTATTTCAGTTTGTTAAATTTTGTCTGGAAACTGGAAATTGATTTCTTCTCCCACATCGTTTTTCATTCTGTGAAGGTCAAAAAGGAAAACGACATCCAAAACAACACTAGCCACATAAATACACTGGAGAGTTGAGTAGCAGAGCTGGTACAGATGTATCTACACCCGTATGATTGCTTGCCGAGAAACTTTGAAGACTCACAGGGCATCACACACTGGATAAGAAGCCCACTTTGTTTTTACTTCTTAAACAACTACAATAAATGCATTTCAAGGTTAATCCGGTTTCAATTGTGAAAGAAGGATTTATTGACCACCAACGGACCTGAACCCCACTGAACATCTGGAGATATGGTGGCCACAAATACAGTAAATTACCATTTCACTGATTTTCAGTGGGGCTCAGGTCAATTGGTGATTAAATTATGTGAGAAAATAAAACCTTTATCCACAGCTTGAGCCAACCTAACTTGTCCTCCTTCATTTTGATTGGTTATTAGAATTAAAATCACAGCATCATTTAATTTTAAAATTAATTTATTCATTGATTTTCTTTTTGGCTTAGTCCTTTTATTAATCTGGGGTTGCCACAGCGGAATGAACCGCCAACTTGTCCAGCATAGGTTTTACGCAGCGGATGCCGTTTCAGCTGCAACACTATGGACAATTTAGCTTTCCCAATTCATCAATACCGCATATCTTTAGACTGTGGGGGAAACCGGGGTAAAACTGGAGGAAACCAGAGGAAACCCACGCGAACACGGGGAGAACATGCAAACTCCACAATAAAATGCCAACTGACCCAGCTGAGGCTTCTTGCTGTGAGCCGAACATGCTACACACTGCGCCACTGTGCACCCCAATGTTAAAATTGTAATTTCTAAATATATAATGTGCTAAAAACATTAAATATTTGATTGTTTAAATCTGAAATAGATACTTTCACCCTTAATTATTCTGTGTATTATTACTGATATCCATCATTAATGTGTGGATCCATTTGCTCTTAATGTGTCTCCAGGTATGGCTAAAGATCTTGGATCCAGACTGGGCTCCTCGCACGTATCTAGAGCTGGAGGCTTTACCCTGTATTCTCATCTTAACTGGCATGGATCCACAGGGAGAATCTTTACCTAGGTTAAACACTGATAGCAACTTGTTTATTTCTTACCGTATGGATTATTATAGAATGACATAAGTAAATGTTTAGACACCATTAGAGTGATGAAGCTGATAAATATCTACTTATTATTTGATTTCATTTAATAATTAAAAAACTGCTTTTGTTTCTGCAAAATGTTTAATTATTTACCTAGAACTGTTTACCCAGAAATGGGCCTTTTAAAGCTTGCTAATCTATTTTGTTTGTTTACTTAGAAAATGGTTGGTAAATCTGTACAGAGGTCAGCAAGACCTCAGAAAAATAATTACCTGAGGCAATTTAAGGTCTTTTAAAAAATTATTTTATGTTGTCACATTTGTTTAGTTTTCTTTCAAATGGTGAGTGAGTTGTTTGTTTTTTAATGACAGATTGTATTATCACTTTAATCACAATACTACATTATATAATATTCTATATTGATCATGTGTTGAATTGTAAACGTCATGTTTTAAGCTATATATTGTTTTTTTGAGATCATGAGGAGAAAAACATGCGAACAAGAATTGATTTGAAAGCACAAAGAGAGCTGTTTCATTCAGTGGTTATTAATTAAGTCTTGGAAATTCATTAGTAATTCATAGGAAATAGTACCTAAAATTATAACACAACAGCTTTATTTTCATGGTTTGTCCTATACGAGTTGCACACCACATCTTTAAAAACATGAATACTCTATTTTATATGAATGTACAATGCTAATCTTGTATTGTTGAATTTTGCCATATTTGATGATTGGAGAGATTGTTTTGGACTGTTTGTTTGGTGCCTTGTTGACCTGTCACAATAATCAATTTATCGACTTATCGTGCAATACTTGGAGATGAGCTTAATATTTTTTTGCCATTGCAATATATATTTACAAATAAGGTTAAAGCTATTTTACAATGACATTTACATTCAACCTTACCAGTGTCAAAGTTTATAATTGGACATTTACCTAATAGGACGTTAATTCGTATATATAATGAGACAATCACCTTTTTCATCAGATTATAGAATCTAAATAACCTTAAGAATGTTAAGTATTTTAAAAAGTTTGGCTATTTGCATTATTATGCTTTTATTTAATCATTATATAATCAGTGGCATAAACTGTTAAAATCATGATTAAAATCAACAATAATATGATAATAATTTCGCTTATCACATCATTTTCTATGACAATATATCGCACAACAAAAGTTCCTTATCATGACAGGCCTTGCACCTTGACATGAACATATCTAATCCATACGTTTGGATTTTCATTCGATGTATGACCACATTTAGGCTTACCTCACACCTATGTTGTTCCTCTGTCCTCAGATCTCTGAAGTATTGTGACCTGCGTGTTATCAGCTGCTGGTCTCTGCAGCGCACCACCCTGGAGCAGGAGCTGGGACTAGCTGCCTACATACTCAAGACAAAACAAGATGGCCAGCATGGGCCGAACGCACCCAGTGACCTCTCTGAGAGTGACCCTGAAAAACTCAGCAGCACTGACAACGAGGAGGAAGAGGTTGTGGTGGATGGTCAGTATTGCAAAGCTAGAATACATAAGCATAAACCATTTACTGTGAAATGCTTGGGAAAATATTACAGCATAGAGATCATTTTTACACTAAATTAAATAGACATTGTCATGGTCAAAGCACACCACCCCTGCCCTAAACTTTGAGGTAATTAAGGAGGAAGAATATCAAGATGTTAGTCAGCTCAACCTTATATCATCTTCAGTCTTCAGCACAGCTTTGGGGAGGAAGAGGATTCTTTCCCAAGAAAGAGGAAATGGAGACTATCCACCTCAAATGACTGCATGTGCACATGGGTAGAACAGTTTCTTCCTTTGGGGATATTTCTAATAAACAGAAACAATCACTCAATCAATCAAAATCTATATTGATTTAAAATGAAATGGTGACTTTTAACTGATTTTTTATTATCTTTGTATCATTACAGTTAGAAATGCACTGGTCTACTGACAATAAATCAAGTACCTTTTTCGTTTCTTTCGTCCAGTCTTCGTTTCAGACTTTTCCCAAATGTGTGTAAACATCAATCTGAAAGCATTGCAATCTGTAAACAGGATGTCAACAGAGGCCTAAAGGCTGAGCACAGTCACAACAGCAGGCAAACTACTATAAAGGGCAGAGCAGCACAATATTTACAAGCATTTCACTGAAATATAATACTGGAAAAAATCTCAGAATACTAAATCGAGGGAGGATTTATATGGAAAGGTACTGATCATCTTCAGAAAGGTGTGATTGTATTTTATTTTTGTACAATGCATATTTAAAATCTCATTTAAAAATGCCAAGGTCCTTTGTGTAAAGTTGTGCCACATGCTGGCAGTGAGTGGATTTGCATTTTCATTTCAATCGTTTCACTGAACTTAATGTTTTTGTTTTGTGCAGGAAAGTTTTATGTAGCATCATTTGGAGTTTTAGAGGCAGGATTTTGAAATTATAGTTTCTAAGTTATATTTGAAACTTCCCATGCTACATGTACAATATGTAGCATCTTTCTTCAATTAAAATGCAGTGGTTGCCTTAATTTTACATTTACATTTTACATTTAGTCATTTAGCAGACGCTTTTATCCAAAGCGACTTACAAATGAGGACAAGGAAGCAATTTACACAACTAAGAGCAACAATGAATAAGTACTAAAGGCAAGTTTCAGGTCTGTAAAGTCTAAGAAGGGAAGTGTTAGTAGTTTTTTTTTTTTTTTTTTTTTTTTTTTTTTTTTTTTTTTTGTACAGTTAGTGTGATATTCAAAGAGGCAATTGCAGCTTAGGAAGTGAAGTGGAGACTAAATAGTTGAGTTTTTAGTCGTTTCTTGAAAATAGCGAGTGACTCTGCTGTTCTGATGCAGTTAGGGAGTTCATTCCACCAACTGGGCAGATTGAGCGTGAGCGTTCGCGAAAGTGATTTTTTCCCTCTTTGGGATGGAACCACGAGGCGACGTTCATTCACAGAACGCAAGTTTCTGGAGGGCACATAGATCTGCAGAAGTGAGTGCAGATAAGAAGGTGCTAGGCCAGAAGTCACTTTGTAGGCAAACATCAGAGTTTTGAATTTGATGCGAGCAGCAACTGGCAGCCAGTGCAAACGGACTAGCAGCGGAGTGACATGTGCTCGTTTAGGTTCATTGAAGACAACTCGTGCTGCTGCATTCTGGAGCAGTTGAAGAGGCTTGATAGAGTTAGCTGGAAGCCCAGCTAGTAGAGAGTTGCAGTAATCCAGTTTGGAGAGAACAAGAGCTTGAACAAGGAGTTGAGCTGCATGTTCAGATAAGAAGGGTCGGATCTTTCTGATGTTATAGAGTGCAAATCTGCACGATCGAGCAGTTCTAGAAATGTGGTCAGAGAAGTTTAGTTGGTCATCAATCGTTACTCCAAGGCTTTTCACCATTTTGGATGCAGTAATGGTTGCCCCATCCATCTGGATTGAAAAGTTATGATGTAGAGTCGGGTTGGCAGAAACTACAAGCATTTCCGTTTTTGCGAGGTTCAGCTGAAGATGATGATCTTTCATCCAGTGTGAAATATCCAACAGGCAGGCTGAGATACGAGCTGGAACCGAGGGATCATCAGGATGAAAAGAGAGGTATAGCTGGGTGTCATCAGCATAGCAGTGGTAGGAGAATCCATGTCTCTGGATGACTGGTCCTAGAGATGATGTGTAGATGGAGAAGAGAAGTGGCCCAAGAACAGAGCCTTGAGGTACCCCAGTGTTTAGATGCTGTAGGTTGGACACCTCTCCCCTCCAAGACACCCTGAATGACCTGTCAGAGAGGTAAGATCTAAACCATTGTATAACAGTGCCCACAACGCCCAGTGACTCAAGCGTAGATAGCAGGATCTGGTGGTTGACAGTGTCAAAAGCAGCTGACAAGTCCAGCAAAATGAGGACTGATGATTTAGAGTCTGCTTTAGCCAGTCTGAGATCCTCCACGACCGAGAGCAGGGCAGTCTCAGTTGAGTGGCCTTTCTTAAAGCCGGATTGCTTGTTGTCCATGAGATTGTTTTGAGTAAGAAAGTCCAGGACTTGATTGAACACTACTTTCTCCAGAATCTTGGCCATGAATGGAAGCAGGGATACTGGTCTGTAGTTTTCAAGTAGCGTATGGTCCAGGTTGGGTTTCTTTAGCAGTGGGGTTACCCTAGCCTGCTTAAATGTAGTGGGGAATAAACCAGAGTCAAGAGATGTGTTAATTATGTGAGTCAGTGTTGGTATGACTGCAGGAGAGATGGCTTGCAAGAGATGAGAGGGAATGGGATCGAGTGGACAGGTGGTTGCATGGCTAGATAGCACAAGTTTGGACACCTCAGACTCAGAGAGCGGAGAAAAAGAGGTGAGTGTGTGTGGTGTTGGTGTTGTATCTTGCGTGTTTGTTGTAGGTGCAGCAAATTGAGCACTGATTTTTGCAGTTTTGGTGCAGAAGAATGTAGCAAAGTCATCAGTAGTAAGTGTGGAGGATGCGGGTGGAGGAGGAGGATAGAGGAGGGAGGAAAATGTTTTAAAAAGTAGGCGAGGATTAGTGGCATTGTTGATTTTCAGACGGTAATACGTCTGCTTTGCAGAAGTAACCTCAGCTGAGAAAGAGGACAGAAGAGTTTGGTATGTTAAGAGATGTGCAGGATTTTTAGTTTTCCGCCAAATTCTCTCTGCAGCCCGAAGTTTTGAGCGATGCTCACGGAGAGCATCCGAGAGCCAGGGTGCAGGAGGACTGGCACGGGCTGGCCTGGATGCAAGAGGACATAATCGGTCTAGACATGATGCTAGTGTGGAGCAGAGTGTATCAGTGGCACTGTTCGAATCAAGTGCAGTGAGTTTGCGAGATGGAGGAAGAGAGTCTGAAACAATGGTGGATAGTCTATTGGGTGAGAGAGATCGTAGGTTTCTGCGAAAGAAAACTATTTTAAATGGTTCAGTCTGTTAAAGAGCAAATAAATAAATCCAATTGTACATGTACTGATATTTTTATTCTTTCTTGTTTCTTGCTTACAAAAAAACTAAAATAAATTATTTTTAAAAACTCTGCAAATGGAATCGGCCCCTTTTTGTTTTGTTTTTAAAAAATATATTAATCAATAAATCAGAAATAAGCAATCGGAATCGTCCCATTTGTTTGCAAAATATGGCAACCAACAATCAGATATAAAAAATAATGCTGCATCACTAATTATAGTGTATGAATATAGAATAAGTGCACTTTCTCCATGGATATCCTTGCTTATTGATTGGCAAAAGTTGTCCTTTAATTGTACCTTTGCCCTAAAAGGAAAATCCTGTCATCAATTACTCACCCTTCACTTTCTGTCTTCTGTTGAAAGCAATATAACTTTTTTTAATGCTGGGACCCATTGACCTCTTTAGTATTTTTTTCTATTATGGAAGTCTGTGTGCCACCATCAGCATTCTTTAAAAAATCTTCCTTTGTGTTCAACAGAAGAAAGAAACTTATAAAGGTTTATAAACAAATTTATACTTATAAACAAATGAGGGAAAGTAAATGTTGAGGTCGTTTAAATTTTCGGGTGAAACAACCCTTTAAAACTGTTAATGATTTTAGCATTTTTTTTTTTTTTGTTATTTAAAATAATATATGTTATTGCTTTTGCCAATTTAACTCCATAAACACCTTGCAATGGCATGGAATGCATAACCTATGAATGAACTATCACTTCAAAGTGACAATTCACCCAAAAGGGAAAATTCTGTCATCATCATTCACTAACCCATGACTTGTTGCAAACCGGTTTGAGGTTTTTTTGTTTTGTTGAACACAACAAAATATATTAAAAATAATTTTGGAGACTGCTAACTATTGACTTGAATATCAGAAGAAAAAAAAATACTATGGAAGTCAGTGGTTACCGGTTTCCAACATTCTTCAATATATCCTTGTTTGTGTTGATCAGAACAAATACAAAACAAGTAGAGAGTAAATAAATGATAGAATTTTTTCATTTTTTGGTGCATCTTTAACAATAATAAAAGCATAGAAAAAAATATCAAGCAAAGTGGGCTTTGCTTTTTAGAAAGAAAACTGGTCAATTCAAAGGTTGCAGTATGTATTTTAAGGAATCATCTAAAACTGACCTTGCCTCTCTCTGGTGGTCTATAGTAAACAGCGATCTTCCTAAGCTGGGTAACCAGGCCTCCCCAGCTGCCTCTCAGCGCCCACAGCCTGACTGTAATCCTCTGGATTCAGAAAAGCAGCCCAAGCAGAGGCGACAGTCCAAATCCACCTCGTCTGGCTCTTCGTCCACACGAGCCTCTCCTCTTCGGCAGAGCTGCTCCTGGGCACGTAATCTCAGCCGTCCGCCTGTGGTGCTGCTTCCTAAAACCGTCTACGACCTTATCACCACTGTGGATTCCAGTGGTCTGCCCAAGTCTACTTCTTTCCTCCCTCACCCTTCAGTGGAGTGGGTCAGCTCCTTTAGACCCCTGCTCAGCAAGATGATGACCTGCACTGAACAGTCACTGTACTATCGCCAATGGACGATCCCCAAACCCCATCACATGGACAGCACTAACCGAGCTGAAGGACGAACTGATAACTTCCACCCACGAAAGTTGTTGCTGAGTGGGCCCCCACAGGTAAATGAGGATCTAAAAGACTAAAAAATTATTGGCGGTGACTACGTTTGGATGATGGGTTACAATGGAATGTGTTGTGTGTACAGGTGGGGAAGACAGGGGCATATCTGCAGTTCCTGGGGATTCTGTCCCGCATGCTGATTAGGCTGATGGAGGTGGACATCTATGATGAAGAAGACATCAACTGCAGTAAGTATCGTGGTAGGAATCAAGGGGTCATTGGACCACAAATGAAGACTTTTTTTTTACCTCTTTTAAGTACATCATGGCCACATTGTATGAATTTATTGTCTTAATTTCATTATGATTAAAATGAGGGAGCTTTTTAGTACATAGATACCATTTAAGCTACTATAATGGAGAACAAATTAAGTCATGCAGATGAAACTTAGTATGTAGCCACAATATATATCAGGAATAGGGCAGCATCTGTCCTTGAGGGCCACTGTCCTATAGAGATTTCCTTAAACCCAAATGAAATACAACTGCCTTTAGCTATCTAGTGATCTTGAACACATTCTGTGCAGTCCGAATAGGATTTACCACCCTCCAAAGAGCAATTCAGAGTACTTTTCCAAACCAGAGTCCTCAGACTGGCCATTTTGAAGGACCCTTCGGAATGAAGCATTTTGTTGGGTATAACTGGTGGACATGTCAGGCCTCTATGATCCTTTTTGGAGGGAAGTTGTTTGGTGTTTCCATTTGGAAGGACTAATCTCTATTCCCTAATCCCGTCGAAGCTGTCAATCCAGAGGGTAGGGATCCCCCCGAAGGGACTAGGGCATGGGGATGAGTCATCAGGAATAGAATGCAGTAATTAATTACCATATTTAGTTATATTTAGTAAAATTAACCCAATCAGTTAAGTTGGAGATAAACTGCGCAGAACAGTGGACCTCCAGAACCAAAGTTACATGTATCTGATATATATGTAAATACATTTTCACACACTTATTCCCCCAACCACCCATATTCAAAAACATTTAGTGATCTAACTTAAAATTGGCAAAAACGATTTCCAACTTTACCAAAATAATTAAAAATCAACATTTAAAATCTATTGAATCGAAAATAAAAGGGATCATGAAACCTTTTGTTGTATTTCCCATGAGAAAGAATGGGAAAAAAGCATGCACATCAATCTAAGTGCCCAGCCATCTGTC